GAAACCCTGACGTTGCTGCAGTGTCCTTGTTTGACATTGTAGTGTATCCCCTCGTAGGACTCCATCGCGGGTGGGGTCAGTCGGCACCGAACCTCTCTCTTTAGTTATGGACTCCCCCCCCCCATTCCAAATTAAAAAAAATGTTGAAAATCTGCTTATTGGTAAACGACCACGCCTAGAAGACTCTGAACAGCAGTCCCCATCACAAAGTACACCTGTACCTCGCTTTTTGATCATGCATTCACTGTCTGATAAATCTTTAGGGCAAATGTCTCCCTTTTTTATTCAGAAGGGCTTAGAGGGGCTTGCTGGCTCTCCAAAGTCAGTTAAGAAGCTCCGTTAAGACAGTTAAGTCAGTTAAGACATCTTAGTAGAAACTTTCACAGTTAAGCACAGTGAACTTCTCTTGAATTCAAAGGCCATTGGGGATATACCCATTGAGGTTACCCCCCACGCTTCCTTGAACTCCTCACGAGGAGTTATCGTTGAGAGGGACTTGAAATCTATCCCCGAGTCGGAGATCCTTGCTGGTTTCTCCAACCAAGGAGTTTCGGCGGTTCGAAGGATCTCCACTCATCAAGATGGAATTATTGTGCCGACCTCAGTTTTGATTTTGACGTTTTCATCACCACGTCCACCTGCCGCCATTAAGGCAGGTTATTTGAACTGTAAGGTACGGCCCTATATTCCCAACACTCTCCGATGTTTTCAGTGTCAGCGGTTCGGTCACTCAAAGACATCTTGTTGTGGTTCTGTGACGTGTGGTTGTTGTGGTGGCAAGGACCATGACTCCTACAAGTGCAAACTGGCCCCTCACTGTGTTAACTGTAGTGGTTCCCACCCCTCCTACTTTAGGTCTTGCCCTATTGTTTAGCTATTGTTCCCTCCTACATGTCGGACATGTGCCTCTGCATTACACTCCACTGCTACAGTGGGAGTGCAGATGGACCTTTCCGTGCCTCCATCTGTGTCTTTTTCACGCCATGTGCGGGGTCTTCTGCCCTCCATGGATATTAGAGTTG